TTCCAAATCAAAGATGCACGAGTAAATAGAATGAGAGAGGAAGAAGAGACTGACCATGTTGGAGTTCTTTGCTTGGAGACACTCCGAAGGAGCTTCAGAGTTATGCGGCTACCTCAGTAATGTGAGGGGATGAGGGAGATAGAACCCTAGCCGCCAGCCTTATGTAAAGTTCTCCCCCTGAAAATCGGGTAGGGTTTTGTCCGGTTAGCCCAGAATTCAGGCCCGTAAATGATAATGGTCCATTAAGATTGGGCCCTATAAGAAAATGAATTACAGAATAAATAAATTCAAGTTATGGGCCCAAACAGGCAAAAGCTGCTTAATCCTAAAACTATGGCGTTGAAATAAATTATCACTTAAATAAATATTGATATAATTTATTATTTTAATTTTTTTATTTTTAAAAAAGGTAATTCAAAATTTAAAAGATATTTTTAATTTTTTTTATTAAATTTTAAAAACAATAATTTAACTATTAATCTTAAATTTGGGCCGATAATGTAAAGACCATGCACTTAGCTGAAACTCAAAGCACATAACAAGAGTAAATTTAAATTGTGCTTCCTTTTCCTGATTGGGCTTACACATGGGCTAGTATTTGAGATGATTATGGGCCTTATTACATTGAATTCTTCACATCTCGTTTTGTTTTATGGCCCAAAAAATTTGGATTTCTTCACGTCCTTCAGGAAGAATTTTTTTGAATTCATATTTTTTTTGGCCTTCATTGTTTTTTTTTTTTAGAGAAAATAAAACGCGTTCATTTTTTAATTCTTATTGAAAACGAAATTAATAGTGTATTCTCTTTCTTGAAAATTGGCAATTTAGTCCTGTATTTAGTTTCAAGGAAATTGTTAGTGAATGAATCGACCGTCCACGCGGAGAGTTCGTGTATTTTTCTTATAAAAAGACAATTCCATGGTCAACTATTTAATTCCAAAGAAATTTGTGTATGTCATTCTCAAGAAACCATTAATTCTATGCTCTTAGTATTCAACACCGAAAAGAAGCATCTTCAACGAGAGCATATTCCCATTTTTTTGGGTATGAATGGAGATATTATATGCTGGACCAAAGTCTACCATGTGTTTTTGTTTGGGGCTATAATAGGTTAAAATATGCGTTTAACTCCTTACATTATTAAACTTAAAATTTTTAGTTTTCTTATCTTATATTATGAAATTTTTAGTTTATGAATTTAAATGTTTGAAAATTTTAGTTCATAAACTAACGAAGTTTGTTAACTTTTCGTTGAAGTTAAAATAAAATATTTATAAAATTAATTCTCAAAAATTAAAAATGTAGCAATTTAGTTCTAAAAATTAAAAAATTAAGAAATTAAAAAACTAAAAAGAATTAATGGATAATTTTCTCATATACACTAGAATAGTACTGGATATCAGTAATTAAATCGAGTTATTAACTCAATTTAAAAAAAGAATTTTAACTAAAATTAAAGGGAATTTCTTAGTTGATTTAAGATAGAAAGTTTAAAAAATAAGAAGAATGCAGTCAATAAATTTTTTTTTAATCTCAGTCAATTTTTTTCCTTCAAATTTCAAATTAAATTAATTGCTTGATTTAATTATACATATTTAATACTATTTTTATGTAT